GTTTTCGAGCTGAATTGTTTCAGCTGCTCTGGTTTCACTGAGTGGCTGCCTTGCAGAATGAGGTGGGTCAGCTCTGAGTTGCTCGGAAAAGGAAACCTGTTTAAATAGGAATGCTGGGAAATATGAAATAGAGCTATTGTCACATTCAGTTTAACTTGCACCTTTGGCACGCTTTTGTACCATGCCAATACCCTGCTTGTGGCAGCCTGCACACCTGACTTTGTGGCATGGACATTGCTGTGGCTGTGAAATGAAGCAGAGCAGTGAACTGACCCTGCTGTCTCTTCTGTGGGAGGTACTTTCCAGTCAGAGCAATTCCATCTACTGCCAGGCTGTTACCACCCTGTGCTGGGGTAGCATGATGTATGGAGGCAAATGCTGGTAGGTAGTGATGTCCCCCTAATTTTGCCTGGCAGTGAAACACTTAACAGCTTGTCTGTACTGGATAGGAAGAAATTGCTTTAAGATTGAGAAACATTTGGGACTCTGACAAACTTCTGTTCTCTGATGCTTTGTGCTATTGAGTGCTCTCGTTCTTGGGCTGTTTGGCTCTTTGGATCTGTTAAATTATCTGGCTTGTTGGTAGAGTTTCTCCCCATTGGAAGTTGCATCTGATTACCACTGAAACTTCACACTTACTGAAAATTAAAGAAATAAGAGCACAATTTTTGAATTGAGATAGACCTAAGAAAATAAAAGTGAGTAGTGTATGTTTTTTTTACTAAGTTGTATGCTGCCATTGAGAAAGCTGCCTTTACTTCAAGAGGAAATGGTAACTGGGTAGTTATCTTTCTGTGATGTCTGTGTGCTCTGCTTTATTTCCCAGAGTAATAAAACGCAAGTATGCACATGGAAACACTTCAGAGTTATGCCTTGCCTTGGTGGTGAGTGGCTGTGGGGGAAACCAGACCATCTTTTGTTAAACCTTACAGTCTGCAGCTGACTTGGAAACTGAGAGCCCAGCGCCCCGACCTGATCAGCCAGCCACATTAACGATGCAGTATGTGCACAGGGTCTTCCCATCCCTGCAAATCCATGTGGAGATTCAAACTTAGAGCAACTGCTGTAGCTTGAGGGTGGTGTTGAGACAGCCATGGAGAGAAACTCTCATCTTGTCTTGAATTCTGCATACCTTAATGTTATTCTTGGCTTGGTAACAAATCCCGGAAAACCCCCTTGGGTAGGTAGGGGTCAGGAGATGATCCATCTTATGCCATTTGTGCTTTTGAGCAAGCTTTGTAACTTGTCCCTTCTGTTTATGTTATTGGGTTTTTCCTTTTCTGTTTTGTGAATGATTTTTCTCTTGCTGTGCATGGTGAGCTGTGTACCAGTAAGAGTGCTAACGTCGCATTCTAGAGAAGACCTATTTCAGTTTCTTGCACCACAGAACTGCTCAATAAGCTGCTTACTCTGCCTCTCCATTCTTTCCGTATAGCAAGAGGGATGCACCTTCTTTCAGGTGCATCTTTTAGGAGATCTGTCATGGCTCTTTCTTGTTGTGAAGACGTGAGCTTTGTGGCACCGTTGATGGATACGTAGCTGTCTTTCTGCCGTGCTTAGCTCATTAACTTTTAAATGCCTTACTGCAAGTTTGATACTGCATCAGAGGAAATGCTTAGACTTGATACTCAGAGGAAAAGGAATTGCTCGAAAGGGATGCTTGAAGAGAAGAACAGCGCTGGCCTGCTGCAACTTCTTCAGTAAATCTTCAGTCCAGTGGTGGAACGTGAAGGAAGTCTGGCAGAATGGGTGGTCAGAAGCACTTGCTATCAGCAGTACTTCTCTATTGCCTGAGTAGTTTTTTGTCCCTTTTTTTTTTTCCAGCTTCGTACTATGGTAAGGTGAAGTAACAGTGAAAGGCTGTTGGACAGAACACGAGCCTTGCTGGCTTCTTCATGAAGCTTACTTCCTGGAGAAGCTGTTTTTCAGTGGAAAATATATTAGCTTAGGGCCAGAGGATTCTTTTTCTTTTGGGCTTCAAGAGCCTCAGCCGATGATACCGCATACTGTGTTTTGTGTTCCCAGGGTCTTCTAGTGGAATAGGAGAGCTAAGTGTTGTCATATAGGGCTTGGTCGCACTCCTCCTTCTGAACAATTCCTACCTAAACATCCTTCAGCAGTTTGTTCTCTACTTCTGTGTGCACGCGTCTGTGTTCTTACAGAACCAGGTTACTGATGTTTAAGGTCCCTGGAAGGCCATTGTGTTTACAAAAGCATCTGTTGTCTTTGGAGCAGGGATGTCTACAGTAAGTTCCCGAGAAGTGGAATTTCATTAACAAAGACACAAAAATGTAGACTTAGAAAAACTAAAACATTTCAACATTAGTTGCCCAGGAGGCAGAGAGAAAGTTGTTTTTCACTCATGATTTAATTTGACTCCATTCAGATAAAAAGATTTCTCATCATACGTGAGAAATGTGAACGTTCTTTATTCGAGCAGCAAAGCAACTTGTATAATTATATGTATGTCCTGAGACTTGGTGTATATTAATAACTGTCCTGTGACTTTTTTCCCTCTCCCTTGTTGCTTGGTCTTGCCTTTCTATTAAGATACTTGTGACTGAAATGTTCAAGTTTAATAGATTTTTGTCCTAAAAAGGACAGAATTCCCGTGTTACACATAGATTGTAGGGTGTGGTTTTTTTTTTTTTGAATTAATTTCTGCTTCAAATCCCATAGCTGTGGATAAATATATCCAGTCTTGACCAGAAAATGTTGGCATGAGAAATCCAATAAAAGCCTGATGTGCTGATGGTAGTGACTGCTTCCTACTCATTGATGAGATTCCAGATGTTATGAATGTAAGTAGGGACAGAGTACGAAGGGAATGCTGGTGGTCAGCCTGTGCTTCCCAAAGTGCCACAGCCAGAGCCCTTGCCCAGGGAAAGCATTGTGGTGGTTGTTGCTGTGCTCTGTCTTGGTGTGCCCGTGTAAAAGTGAGGGTGCCTTACATCTGGCTGAGCTTGACCAGCTTTCAGTTTTAGCCACTGGATCTCATGATGTCTTTGAGAAGCTATTTGTTCTTTTCTCTAGATTTGTTTTTTGGCTTTCTCTGGCTTTCCCCTTCCAAAGCAGTGTTTGATTGCATTTACTTTGGTGAGCAGCCCAAGTCACCTGGCCCCTCTGCTTTTTACTTCTCTTCCCATCTTTGTATCTCCTGCAGATTTCGTGACTGCATTCTTCCAAGCCAGTGACCAAAATATCAAATGGCATAGGGCCAAGATTCAATACCTGATGGACCTCACTGCAGTAATTTCCCATTGACATAAGCATTTCAGGAACTGTCACTTAATCAATTTTAATCTATGTGTATTGGGCTGATTTTTATTTTTTGGTTGGTTACAGTCAAAATATTTGGTACCATGCTGAAAATGTTTCACGTGTTTGATAGTATTATAGCAAATCTGTTACTGCTAATCACATTTTCAGGTTTGTAACATTAAAATTAAATATATGTCACGAGCCCACATTGACTGAAACCATTTCTGCTGTTAACTCCTTAGTGAGCTGTTCTGTGGATCTTGACAACCTTTAGAAAGTTGAAACCTCAGTACCTGTCTGCTCAATGTTTTGACATTTCAGAGGGATAACCATTTTTCCATTTAAAAAAAACCAACCAAACAACAACAACCAAGCAAACAAACAAAATAAACCACCCACCTCCATGGTGTTTGAAGGCGGTTTACTGAGGAATGTGAAATAACTGATAGGTTTTGTTGCTAAATAGTGTTCTACGCTGTTCTATTGAAAGTTTAATGTACCACCATATCCTTATGGACTTCTTAAAGCTAATGTGCATAAATGCCTTCATTTTGGTTTCATATTTGCTTACCTTAAATCCATGTGTATCTCATTGCTCAGACCTTTGTAATATTTCTGGGTTTTGACATGTTCTCTACGTCCCTCTGCTGCTCCTCCAGCCTGACATCTCTTCTTTGTGCTTGTAGTCACGGTTGTTTTATTATTATTATCATTTTAAGTAATATATTATTTTTGTTCTTGGACGTCTTTAACAATGTATGTAGTAGCAAACAGTAAAGACAAACTGTAGCCCTTTATTTTCTTTACTGCTCTCAGATCTGGCTCCTGTTAAGTGGTTTATGCCTTACTGCTTTGACGAATTACGTGCATATTATGTAGAGAGTATTAAATAACACGTTTAAGCTGTGCTGTTTCAAGGGAAAAAAGCATTGTTTGAGAAGCAAAACTCGTGACGACCGTGTCAGTGACAGTCCAGAAATTTACCCACACCTCCTGGCCGTCTCTGGCTTTTAAGGGGGAGAATGTGTCTTTGGTTAATCCATGCAGCCAGTGAAGTCTTCTCCTCAACCATCAGCTTCTCCAATAGCTTCTACAGCAGCCTGGTAGCTTCTCAGTTGATGGAAGAGCTCTCGGCTGTAGGGCAGAAGGCAGTGTGAGGCTCCAATTGGATCTCATCAAGGCTCGAAGAGGAGCTGTTGTGGTCTTAAACTGTGAGCCAGTAGATTTCATTTAAAGTTTATATTTGTGCCTTGCAGTATTTGGTTACAGGAGGGAGGATGAAAATGTCAGAAAAGATGAAAATGAAGTTGTGAGATTTTGACCATGCAGGAAACTGAATGCTCAACTCTTTTTTAATTTGATTTCCTGTACATGTTGCTCTCAGTTTGAAAACGGCACATCCATATTCTGATTTTTTTTTTTTTTTTTTGTTGGAAGATATTTTAGAGAGTAGAGTTTCTCAAATACTGCTTTACTTTTAGAGCCAATAATTGCCAAATTGTAAATAATGTGTGTAACTATCTGTGAATTTAACAGCATATTTCACCTTTCAATACAAAGAGTTTTCTTTGTTCTTCTGTTTTTTTAATTTTTTTTTAATTTTGCCAACTCTCCATTTACTGCAAAGCCTGCTAAGATGGAGAGTTTTTTTAAAGCTTTGCAGATGTTTCATTTTTATAAAAAGTATATATATATTTTATTTTATTTTATATATATATATTTCTAAATTTCTACACAGACGCCCAAAATATGTTCTTCTTTTAGTGGGTCACCGTAACATAAAGGTTAAAAGTGTGGCTGCTGTAATTATGATGGATGTGGAAAGCAGAAGCCCCTAAAATATTGGTGTCTTCACCCCTTTTCCTCTGGTGTCATTCTGTTGTGCTGCAGCTGTCCCACTGGCCCTGCTGGGAAGGTTCAGGCACTGAAGTACAGATGATGAAAACACTGAAACAGGAATTTAGCAGAGGCAGCCATGTTAATTTCTGTTCCATTTGAAATGCAGGAAAATATTGTCTGCCAAATGGACAATCAGTGGGAAAAGAAATGTTCTTTTCAAGCTTCTAACAGTAGTGACAATGGAGAGAAAAATACTATAAAAAGTAGGCAGCTCCTTTTTCAAGATTTTGATTTCGATGTGTTATGCACGATGAACTGTACAGAGTACACAGTTATTCTTTTGGAGCCCTAAATGACTGAGTATTACAAGGCAGGGCTTAGATTGTCTTTACTGCATTGCACCTTGTGTTTGGGGGGGAGTAGGGCTTGGCTTCACGGCAATTTCACCAGTCTTTAGTATAATTTTTGAATACATTCATGCTTCCCTTATTTGCCTTTTTTAATGTCAAGCATTGCACATAAGATGTTCTGCTGTTGCTATGCAACTGCTAAATCCAATATTTAATATTAATAAAAACCGAGTGGCATTAGCATCACTGAGAACAGTGGGCTAGCAAACTATGATTGTACAATATCCAAGCTGTAAAACTTGGCAGGGACTTCAGTGTGCGATTGCGTGCATAGCAAACTGTGGGGCATGAGTCACTGGTGGTTACTATTTTAAGAGTGGTGAGTTTGAGTAAAATTCTGAGCTCCCTTGATTTTTATTTATTTATATATGCGTTCTATTTTGAACAGAGAGATAAGGAATGAGGTTGGTTGGTTGTTTCATTTCAGGTCCAAGTTCGGAGGGGTCGCTACACATGGAAGGGTCAGCATTATGAACCTAAGGGTCAATTCCCTGATTCTCCTGTTTTTCTTCTAGGTCAGGTTGGTCGCCCTTTCCCACTGTTGCTGCCACTTCCCGAAGCCTGAGTTGGCTTTTTTTGGAGGCAGTGCTTCTTCTCTGCCTGACAAGGTGCTGTTCAATGAGGTGGATAGTCTTTTTGGCTTCTCCTTTTCCACCTTGTTTAGTGGTATCTCCCCTGTTTCTATTTACTCTTGACTATAATTTTACCATTGCTCTTTCACTTTTTTCTTTGTCCTCTGCTCAGTGCTTTCTGAGATAAGATTTTCAGTGTCAGCCTCTTAGAGGTGCTAGATCAAGGATGATTTTATGCTCTGGCAGTGCTTTGGCTGTTGAAGTCACATTGCAAACTACAAATTCCACAGGGTCTTCCATCTTGTGTGTAGTGATGTAAGCGCACCGAAAGTCTTGCTGACGCCCAGAGGAATGTGATGCTGCTTATCCCTTTCTTTTGAAGCCAAGACTGTTGTCTGTAAAACAACCATTAGATCTATACATAGACTGAGTTACTTTATTATTGCTTTTTTTTTTTTTTTTGCAGTGTAATAACTGAATTTCCTCCATAGCACACAATCCTTTGAAGTGGTTTCTTAAGAGGGCATTTTCAGGTAGTTTATCTGTCCCTGATTCACCCATGCAAGTTTCTCTAAATTTAAAACTGTATTTTCATCTCTTAAGAGAATTCTTTTATTTCTTCTGCCTCTCTCATACTCAGGCAAGTAGGAGAGGTTACCCAGTTCTGTACAAACTGTCGTTAAACCCACAGTGCAAACGTATTGCAGGGGTAGGGAAGGAAACACAGTAAGTGATAATCCTGGGTTTTGTGGCCATGGTGGAAATATGTTTTTATAAGGAGGTGGACTTGGTCTGTGCCACTCAAAATAATCTCTGTACTTTTCATTTCACTCTTGTTAACTTGACTTCTCCATAGTATTGGGTAGTTGATAGCTCTGTAGGTTTTACTGCCAGCAGGAGTTTAGTGCAATATTGATTTAACGTTTCCAAATAATGGCAGTAATTTCAGTAAAGGCTTTCCCTCTTTTAGAATAAACTAAATTGGTTAGATTTATTTTAAGTGTGGCATCAATCATGGCATTGAAGTAAATCAGACTGTATTTTAGATGCAGATCTTTGACACGAGTGTGTTAGTGATTAGAATTTGGTTCCTTAGGGGCATGGCATTGCTGAATCCCTTTCCTTTTAATTTTCTCTCCTCAAACCTATAACTGCAGAAAGCATTGCTTATGATATTTGTTGAAATGCAGGAAAGTAGCCAAATGCCACTCTGAGATGGAAGGATGTATTATAATGTTATTTCTAATTGCAAAAGCATACCTTTCTTCTGCTTTGAGGCTTAAGCAAGATAATTTTTCCCAGTCGCAATTACCTGGTGTTGTGAAGCACACTGTAGAACCTAAAACTTCCCATTTTCTTTTCAAAACGGCTTATTTCAGTGTCGTAATGTTTTTTGTTTTTAACCCAGCTAAGTGCAGGAGTCAGTGGGCTCTAGATTCTGCTGTGGTTTGTCAGTAGTTCAGTCATCACAATTGACCCATGCGTCTTGTAATGCTAAGAGAAAACACATTGAGCTCTGTTCTTGGAACAGATAAATATAGAACTGCTATTGTGAATATTCTTGTAGTGACGTACTTAATCTAGAAAGCTAACAATTCTTTTATTTGCTTTTAGGGTTTGAAAGTATTCTAGAAGGCCTGTTTGGACCTGGATTATTAAAAGATCTCAGTTTGTTTAAAGGTATTCAATCTCTATGTTTGTATCTTGTTCTGCATTTCTAATGACAGAAGCAGCCCCAGCTCTGCCTCTAGAAAATGTGTGTTACCGTGGTGATTTGTGCTTTTCCCCCTCCCCCAGGCAGTGCTCACAGTTAGTTTCATATTGGCTAAAATTACTAATGAGTGTGCGTTCATCTTTATGTAGCTGGGAGTGTATTTGGCAGTGCTCAGGAAAAAAAACCCACATATTTGTTGTGCATAGATAAAATGTATACAGTTTGGTAATCTGGGGATTTAGAAATATGGCTGAAATGAAGCTTGCATCCTCAGAATGCAGGCAAGAATGTTGTGAAACAGGTATTTAATTTGGCATTTCTCTTTTGGCTCCAGTTATGTCGCGGTTTATGAATATGAAGTAATCTGCTATTCCTCTGATTTACAGACTGTGAGCCTGAAGGTGTTTCTGATTGGTCTTTTGATGAAAATTGTCTTTTCTGCTGCCTGAGAAGAGAAAAAGTGAAGGTAACAATGCAGATGTGTGAAGCTCGTAGTTGTAGGGGAGGGACAAAGGGAGGGAGTTTGCTGCTCCTACTGAACTGAGCACAGAAAACCTGCAGCCACCTACACCTCTCCCCTCCTTTGTAAAAAGACTTTCTTAAATTAATACACATTAATGAAGAGACTTTTTCTCTGCAACTTTTGCTTTGTGGTACGTGATGAAGACTTTTTTTTCGTGTGTGTGTGTAGTGACTTTTTTTTTTTATTTGGTTTATGGGTTGTTTTGTGTTTCTCTTGTTGTTTTTTGAGTTCTTTATAAAAGATCTTGTTGGGATCATGTAACTCTTCCCAAGGGAGCCAAACTGTGGCTCGTGTATGCTTACCACAGTCAGACACTGGGCTTATCTTCAGTATGGAAATGTGGTCCATTTTAACCACCTAGAGGCTCATTCCCTATCTCGGAATCTCTTTCCCTGTGGGCCATATCCTTTTATTAAAGGGCTTGTGTGTATGGCAGGTTTGCTATTGTGCTTGTTTATAACCATGTCACAGCCTAAATGTGGGCAGGTCAGCTTTGCCAACATTTTACACCTGTAGTTTGTTTTCTTAACCAGATTATAGCTGTGTATGAAACAAAGGTTACCACGCTGTACGTGATTGCTGCTCAGCCCCTGTGTTGAAATACTGATTGCTCTGTAGTGTAAGAAGGAAGGCTCATCTGTCTTGGGAAAACATCATTTCCTGGATCTCTTAACTGCTACTTCTTCCTGCACAATGTAACTGTAAGTGCAGAGGGGTTCTCTGTAGACTTGTGAATGAAACACAATCGCCTTTCCCTCTGCAGCAGCTAATGTATGACCTCATGGTTTGTTCATAAAGGAAGCACCTTTTTGTTAGCAGGGGGACTTGCCATGTTGTCAGTTTATGCTTATTTTTATATTGCACTGTTTGTTGAAGCATTGGGAGGAGGATTAGAAATGCTTGCACTTAGAATAGGCGTAGCGCGTAATACTTTGTTGAGGCTGACAGCAGGTAAGCTCTGTGTGTACTTATGCTGCTAGGAGTTCTGTCTGATTTGACTTACGTCACTTCATATAAAGACGAAATTCAGCATTGAGCAGAATTCTAGGTGAGTTCAGGAATGAACTTTATGGTGTGGTCAGTCTGCTTGTAGGCTGGGAGAGTCTTATGATGTGTGGGTAGATCTTTAGAAAGACTGCCTACATCTCATCATCCTCATAGGCCCACAATAACTAAGATAAAGCTTCTGAAAACCCATTATTTAGGTGAAGACTGGGAACGCTGTACAGAGTGCAGATTAGACATGCTTGTCTTATTCTCCTCCAACTTTGGCATAACCTTTTGGTGAAAAGCTGAGATGTCACTATTTATATTTTCAGTGCACTGTGCTAGGCTTTCTGTCATTGAGAAGCGGTGATGTGTTTTTATGCTGGAGATAGCTGCTCCTCTATTGTACTGTGTGAAGATTTTTAAATGGACAAAAGAAGGACACAGATTTGGTCAGATCTGGTATTGCTCTATGGGGCAATTTTGACATCTGGGTCTAAGGAGGTTTTTAGGATTGTGCACATAAAATGAGACAGAATGCAGCAGGGGCATGCAGCATCATTTGCCAAAAGCATGAGGTGGGGGGAAGGAAATACGTTTTGATCTGCCCAGAGACGAATGTGAGTTAACAAAGGCTGCATTAGTGTCAGTCACAATGGGTTTGGGTAGAACAAGTTTTATAAATAAAACCCATATCTGTCACTTTACATTTCAGTAGCCAAAAATGCTTCTTTAAACCCTTTTACTAACAGCTGATTGATAAATAAAGACAGCAAAGAGTGCTTTGTACACATGCTTGTTTGCTGTGTGTCCAGATACCACTGGCTGTTGGGGGGATGGAGGAGCAGAAAACAGAGGTAAAGCAGTCCATTCAAACCAGACTTGTGACCTCTGTTAATCCTAGTGATTCTTCTTGCACTGGGCTGAGAGATACCTGAGTCTGCTTTGGAGTACATAGAAATTTTTTCCTCTTTTCCTGCTCTCCTGCAGTATTAACATTTCTGTTGTTGTGGTGGCGGTATTTGGGTTTTTTTGTTTGTTTTTGGTTTTGGTTGGTTTGTTTTTTGTGGGAAGAGCGAGTGAAGAATGTGGCTCCTTTGAGACCTTGGGAGTGCTTCATGTGTTAGCTGTGGGTGATGGCAAGGTGGGAATGTCTCCTTTCCTTTGTGGGCATGCTAAATTGCTGCTCTGCTGGCCATAGCTTATGTCATTAGCTTGCAGTACGGAGTTTAAATGCAACTCTCTTATGGAGGTCTTCAGGTAGTATGAATTTGATATAGTCATCATTTGAAATAAAGCCTGAGATCTCATTATTACTCAAAAGTTGGTAACTCCATTTGATATTCAATTAGATGTGGATAGTCTTCTGCTGGTGGCCTGAATTAAATTGGGAATGGTATCAATTTTATTGGAAATCTCTTCCATCCAGCATTTGTCATTTGTGATGATAACTTTAACTCTTCCTTTTGAAGGAGTTGAAGGCTTAAGCTTCTAAAACTGCTAAGCCCTGTCTGTTCCTGTGTGTAATATGGTTGCAGTTGTGTTTTCTGTGCCTCAACTTCTGATCTGCTTTTTTGTTGTTGAAGTGCTTCTTTTCACTTTTTAATGAAAAGAACTGAGTAGGATGGGATCATCTGGGTTTGTGCCTACATAATTGTGGGGACAGACTTAAAAGGTTTGTCGCTGATGGTGCAGCTGGGGGCAAGATAGCCACAGCCACGCAGTATTCTGTGTTCTGGGGCTCTGGCTGACATCTCTATTGGAGAAATAATCAGACAGTGTAATCAGCTCTTACCTTTGGGTGATATGTAGGCACTTGTTCTAACAAATTGAAAAATAATAAAAATCTTTTTTTTTTTTCTGGATTTGCTTGTAAGAAAGCCCTGTAACTCAGGAGACAGGTGGCTGTGTTTAAGGAAACCTTGGTGCTGGACTGGAGGATGAGAGCTGGAGGCCCTGATTAGTTTATTGGCTGAGCCATTTGGGAAAGAAAACTGCCCTTATTCTCCCACCCCTTTCAGTGATGCTAATTCTTGCTTTTCCAAGCAATCGGATTCAATTACATGCATTCTTCAAAAGAGGGGAAACCATCTGCTGAAGTATTCTGAAGAGATTAATTTATTTGTAGCAGTAGTTCTACTTGCAAATGCATGGAGTTTTTTTGCCAGCCAAAATACAAGATGGTATTTGGTAGAGGAGTAGACTTGCGTGTGTTCACTTAAGAACGTCAGTAGAATACATACAAAGTTAGGAGCTAAAATCTCCTGTCCTATTTTTGCCCATATCCAAAGGGTTGTATGCAATAACATCACACTTTTAAAAATTAGAATTTTTTTCTTCCATCATAGAAAGCAAAACAACAATATCACAATTGTTTCACTTATATGATCAGAGAGAATAATTAGTTAACTAAGGAACTGCTTCCAGATCATTAACACATGTACATTGACAGCATGAAAGACAGAGTTAGCAGCTCCAGCAGCATACTCACAGCAAAAGGAAACAGATCATGTTTGTGGGGCCCAATTCAGTGAGCTCCATTTGGCTGATCTGCAAATGTGGTAATTCCCAGTTCCCCGTGGGCTTTATCCTTCATAGAGAAGACTTATGATACGTGGTTTCCAAGCTTTTATTCTTTTGTGGCTCTCTAACTTCTAAAAGGTTGTAGTACAGATAAGACCTGTCCGTTCAGATGAATTGAACTTGAAGTGTTCTTCTTAATTGCAGTTAATTTGTCACTGTGTCTCATACGAAAACCAACAGAGCTGTCACTACAGAAGAAGTCTGTGGCTCTATCTGGAATGTTTGTATCCAGTGAAGTGGTCTTGGCTGTTATTTGCTAGCATGCAGAGCTCAAGCCTAGTTTAAGATTTTTATTTTTCTTTTTTGGTGAAAAGCTGCAGATAGGTAATATCAAAAGCACCAGAAGTAAGAAGGAAAGTGGGGAAAGAATCCTTAAAGAAGAATTCAGTTGAGTGTATTCCTTTGGAAGAAAATAGGTTGTCTAAAGCTACCTGAAGAAATTTGTACATGTGGGTTTTGTTTTTCATTTGTAAAAAAAAAAAAAAAAAGCTGTGGGGGGAGGAATGACACTAATCTCATTTGTTGGTGAGAGGAGAACAAGAAGGATAATACTCCTAAGCACATTAACTATTTCATAGATATATTTAAGCTATAAAAATAGCAAGAGAGAAAACAACAGGGAGTGTATTCTGGAGTCTGATGCTGCTGGTGGCAGAGGGCTGACCTGCTGGTTGGAGTGCCACAAAACAGCCCGGCTTCACTGTGAGGACCTCAAGCAGCTCTGGGAAGAAATGTGGTAGGGTGCAGCATGTGAGAACCACACCAAAGTGACTTAAGTGACTTTGAATTTTCAAACAACTTGGATTTTGCTTTAAACAAACACCTGAGGGGAATATTATGCTGGTACTTGCTTATGATTAGTCAGAACAACAGCCTCTGGGTGGTGTCCATTCAATGCGGAGGAATGTGTTTTGAATTTCATAAATTTGTCCAGGTATTTTGGTAAGTGGGGAAACAATGCCATTTCTCACTAGAAAATCTTGCACTCCCAGTAAGTGAAGGTTGTCTTTAAAGTAATTCAACCATCTGAATTCATAGCTGATGCCAAACTGGGAGCAGTTGCAGATGCTTCAGATGGCATGTTTGGAATTGAAACTTCGGAAATGGGACAGACCAAAACTTGTTTTATCAATTAGAAGTTACAGATAACTGAAAGGTGATAGCAATGTAAAAGTGTTAAACTATTTTGGGAGATATCAGAAGAGAGGCATGTCTTAATGCTGGGAGAGGGAATTCTTCTCTTGCCAGATAGAGTGATGCTGCAGATTTAGGGAAGGGATGCTAGTGATGCTCTGGGCCATGATTCCCATGTGAAGAGAAGCACGAAGAGAACAGAATGGGGGTTATAAGTATGGAGAAATGATATTTTAACCCCTAGGATTTCTAACCAATGCCAATTGGTTAATTAGCATTAATATTAAAAAAAAAAAAATCCCCCCCAAATCCCCAAACAAATGCATACAATGAAGAAAAACTTTTGGAAGTTGACACTGAATGATAATCACAATCAAATATTTACTATGAAAACTTGAAGTTTCCCCTCAGGGATTAACCTACTGCAAAGATTGCTGGAATGATTGTTACAGGAAGTGATAAGAAAACAAAAAAAAAATGCAGTGAGTAGAGATCTTTCTGGTAAACTGTCTCATGTGGTCACAGGGAGTGCTTGGCTGGTGTGGTACTTGCTGTGTGATGTCTCAGCTCTGAAAGATAATGGGAACGTGATGCTGGATGGAGGTTGTCTTGGTTTTAAGCTTCTTCCAGAGTTACAGTTCATTGGATCAGGCTGAGGGGGTGGTGTTTCCTTCAATTCTGTTTGTCTTTTGAATTGGAAGAAAGTTTTTTGGAATGGCTTGTGGGACTTCAGCTGGAGGATGCTAATCAACTTTGGTTGATCTCATCTAGCCGGATCTCTGTGCATCAGATTGCAGAGATTCCTTTTAAATAAAGCTTAAAGGTTGGTCTTTAAAAGTGCTAACGCTTGTGTATTGCCTAGGTTAGTTGTGTTTGTGAGTTAATTTCTCCTTTAATGCCTCCTTTGACACAAACTGACGGTTTGATGAGTTTGTGCCTATCCTCATAACCGGGAAGGGTAGCAGAGCTTGGCTGAGGGTGGCAGTCAGTCACAGGGACAGATCCTGCTTGAAACTTCATCAGACATGAAACACCATTTTGAAAAAGAGAATGGAAGTATGTTTTGAGTCTCACCTAGAAGATAACTCTAACAAAAATATTTGGTTTACTTTCCACATATGTTTTCACTGTGAAATCCTGTACTGACACCTCGTATTTTAGGTATCAGAGAAGTGTAAATGTGTGCTCAGCCTGTTTATACAAAGCCTGGAGCCACAGCACTGCTGCTACGGGCGTTCCTGGCACGGAAGTGAACGCTCGTACTCCACTTGGAGTTCCCAGCCTTCTAAGGGCCAGCTCAGAAGTGCTGGCCTTTCCTATGGAAGCAAGCCTAGGTTCTCTCTGGTATAGAAAAATAGGCTCAATCTGTTTGTGAGAGCTTTACCTCTGCACAACTGTACTTTCCCAGCAAGCATGCTGTTAAGCTCATTTCTCACCTTGGTTGCTGTACTCATCTGTTAGTTTGGCACAAACTTCTGCTTTCTTTGTAGCCTGAGATGGGTATCCCCCTTTCTCTTTTGACAGAGAACTTTTGGAAGCTGGTAAATGACAAATCTTATGGTGAAAGCCCATGCTGTACAGGCCAGAGTCCACAGCTTTCATATGATTACCCTTTGCACGTAGTTCATGTGACTGCTGCGTTCGTTAATTTACTATAGGCTGCTTATGTAACCTCCTTTCATTAAGCCTCTTGGAGCAGAGACTTAGAAAATTAAAAATGACTTCTTGTTTTCATTTATTGTGAATTATAAGTGAATTGCCAGCTCTCTCCTCCTTCCCTTTTAGTCCCATTAGAACATGAACCTGAATTCAATTTGTACGTTAGAGGCCAGAAGCTGGCTCTAGCCAAGGTATTATGGTAACTGATACTATGTAAAGGTTAACAAAACAAAACACTCCCTCAACCCAAAGAGAGGTTGTGTATGCATTCCTGCAGTAGGTAAATACAGGTAACTTCAATATTGCTTAAAATGAAAGTGGGAGGAAAGGGCCCCAAAAGGGATTATTCTCCTGTGCGAGAGCAAGGCGTTAAAATGAGAGGAGAGAGGAGGGTGGGTGGGGAAATCCGGCAGTTGTGTTTGGTATGTTTGTAACCATTGTCTTCCAGTTTCTCTTTAATTATCCTAGTTAAATGACTGGTTCTGAAATATTCTGGAGATAACTTCCAGTTGTACAAGAAAATGAACTTTAATTCACTGCGGGTATTGTGAACAGTGAACTTGCATTTATTTCACTAAAAAGTCACCGCTCTGAGCCTCTTGACAGAGGACCTTGTTTGTTGCTGTGCTTGGCCAATTATTGCTCAGTTCACATGAACACTGTGTAAATGAAGGTGAATTTCCTCCGTATTTTGTCCTCGGTGTTTTTTTCTTATAGAACCGAACTTAAAAGCCAAAGAACAAATGTTAGATATGCAGTTTGCAGCCAAACGTAGTAAAATACAGAAATCTTCCTTCTGGTGGGCTGTTATTTGCCATAACGCTATCAAATCTTCCAGTCTTCTGCTGCATTTACAACAAGAAAACAGGACAAAGTACAATGTTCTGGAGCAGTCAGAAATTCAAGTTTTGATTTAAATAGATACAACTCTGTGTCGAGTATCTAACAAAGCTTTGAATTTAGTAAAATATGTAATGCCTGAGGAGCTTTATTTGTTTTGGAGTCAGGAAGATCTTATAACTATTAAATATCTTTGCAGGAGCACTTAGTCTGTCTGGATGAGCCAGCCTCGGAAGCTGGACAAGAAGCTCTGCTTAGACAAGAGCAAGCAAAAATCATTCGTTTTGAAAGGCAAGCGGAAGAGTTCCTCAATGCAGTCTTTTACAGAAAAGGTTGGTTTTAATGCGGGGTGGGGGTGGGGGGAAATTATATCTTTCACTGGTCTTTTTTGCATATGATGCAGGTGTCAAAAATTGGATGTTCAAATTGTCATTGTATGGTCAGTGTTTTTCAGTTGCAGTCTTTGTATGTACTTATCAAGAGTGAAAATTAAATCTCCAACAATGTAGCAGTACAACAGCATGGTCTTGAGAGAGAGGAAGAGAGCATAAGAGCTTTAAGCCCAAAGTAAAACTCTCCATGGGAGCACAAGTCTTCTTACAATTATTATTCAGATCGTGTCCAGCAGAACTGCTGCTCTGAAGCCAGTGTTTAGGTGAGTTAGCTATAAAGAGGGGCAGTAGTGATGGTAGGTGGGATATATATATATTTATTTATATATTTATAATAATATATGTATATATATACTTTCTAAAATTAATTTATTGGTGGAACCTATATTAATTGTTAAGAAGTCAGCAGTCTTCTCACTATGGTCTGTGGTGATTTCCACCACTGCCTGCCCCAGCAATCCGCAATCCAAAATAGTGTGAAGGGGTTTATATGGAAAATTCAAAAAGTGAGCAGCAAAAGAACTGGAAAATCCATACTGTACAATATGCTGAGAGCAATAAGGGTAGCTCAGTATTAGAAAGTGCTATAAATCTATTCTGGAGAGTTACATCAGTTAAAGCTCACTGTTCAGAAGGCATGGAACTCACTTCACTGTTTTCTGTCAGCCTGAGAAATGGGGATCCAGAGGTTGCTTCCAAGTGCATCCTGAGTGGAAGTACATTGTACTTATCAGTCTAACCCATGTGTGAGAAAATCTGCCAAATCAGTAATTCCAACCTGTCTGCTGGGGGACAATACAAGGCTTCAGTTTAACAAATTAGAAATTGCTGTAGCCAGTCTTCAGCCCATCCTCACAGTGACCAAAATATTTAAAGGTGTTTTAAGCAGATAACAGTATTTTAGCCTTTCTTTTATGACTCAGATAAATAAATACAAACTATGTAGTATGAGGAATTGCATAAAGTAAAGCATCTAAGATGGTAGGAGGGACAGTTATTTGCATATTGTTACCAGTAGTTCAGATAATGCTTTTATTCCAAGCCTGCCTTTTTAGTGGCTTTTCTTCTTTTAAAGATAATTTAAAATTTATCCCACCTCTCTTTAAATCCAGAACCAATTTAAGAAAACAAAAAATATGGAGAGTGCATATTTTTTTCCATTCCAGTTTTCTGGTGGAGATGGAGGGTGTGAAGAAGTGCCTTTTCAGCACTTCCAAATGTTTTGTTAGATATCTCATCCGTTTACGCTAACAAAAAGTTTAACTTTTTGTGTGACCTGTGTACATGCTTCATGAGAAACACATATGTCCCAAATCATAGGAAAATTGTTTAATGGTTTCTGTAGTCAGGTACACAGAATGAGAACATGGACATCATTTCAGATTAAAAAAAAAATTCTCAAACAACAACAACAATTCTTAGTTAATGTGTTCTTGGTTTCTCTTCTCCATTCCAGCAGAACTGAGCTTAGTGCAAGAGTAATAAGGGAGGGGAAGGAGCCTGGCAGGAGCTCAGTTCTGAGTCCTTAATGCATTGTTGTCAAGCTTAGTTGTATTTAGATTGCTTAAAAGGTTATTCTAACTCATGCCACTGACATGAGATCCCCAAGCACTGTCATACCACACGGGGCACAAAGAATGGTAGAGTTCTGATGCTCCTAGTTGCTCAGAGGTACTTGGATCTCCTGGCTTCATGCCAGTAATTAGTTCCTTTTTATTTTCATCCCGACTGCCAGTAACATTTGAGACTGCTGTTTTGTAGTCAGTGTAGATCAGGGAAAATGCAGGTGTTCTGTGAACAGATGCCTGTTGCATGTCAAGGACATGAATTCGTGTGCATAACATACAAAGATAATGAGCAATATCAGAAAACTTTCAGAGCAGGCTGCCCATTAATGTTAGCTACTTCCTCTCTGCTTTGTGCCCATGGCACTCTGACCCAGTAATGCTTCTATCAAATGTTCATAATGCCAGTGAAAGCAGAGTGGTAGTGCTTAGTTCTCCATTACCTTTATGCTGTGACGTGATAGGACTTTCTTTTGATGGTTTAATGAAATTATACCTTTTTTTTTGGTTGATGTTTCCCTTTTGAGATTTCTGTGTAGGTAAAATACACAAAGGCTATTGAGTATTTAAAGCTGGGTTGTACTAATTTAGATAACTTACAGTAGATAAATGTTGGCTATTTATCATCTCTGAGAATCTCTATGCCTTAAGTTAAAATTTCTTTCAAATAAATGAGACATTTGAAATCAACATGAACATGTGGTTGATTTCCAGTGGTGCTGAAGAAACACCAGCAAATACTTTGCGCTCACTTTTGAACAATTTTTATCCTGGGTATTCAAAAACTAGGCTTTGTATTAAGCAAGAAGCCTTTAATGCACTAGGTAACTACCCTTCTGCTTGCAAGTTTGAGTCTTGAATTAGTAAGTTTATCTTGAGTAGCTCTCAGTAGTTGCTCTTTGCTGCTGCTTTGAATTTGCAGGTTAGAAAGATGCATGCCTGCAAGCATATACAGTATTTTCTCCATGAATTTGGAAGCACGTTTAGCTGCAAGCTTTATTGGCTTGTGTGTTTATGAATGTATGTGTACAGGAATAGCATGATTCTTCAGTAAATGTAATCTACATAGATCTCAGCATTCATTTCAGCCCATCATGTATACACTGTGAGTGCCTGTCAAATGGCTGGAATCAGCGTGATCAGACTGTCAAGTTGTGCCCTTCTGGGCTTCCTTAGAGCTTCTCACATGTCCTTCAGCAGGTCATAGTAGAGACCTTAGAAAATGGAAGGCATGTCATACTTGCTGGAAAAAGTTTCCACACTTCTTCCCTCTTACAGCTCATGTCCTCGTGGATCCTTAAGAAAGAAAGGGAGGATGTGAACGTATATAAAGAAGTTTGGCTCATCTCTTGGTGGCTTCTTAAAACTTTGGTGTTTTGTGTGCTTAGCAACAATAAAATATCTCATAGACAACACATTAAAATGATTAACTATTTACATAAACATCCCAGAAATTTAGAACTACTGTACCACTGTAATATTATACGCAATGACTGTATAAGACCTTAAATTTGAAAACCTGTACTTCACAGGAGGGAATTTTGGCTCAGTAAGTACTTAAATCTCAGTGTGGTTTTCCATCAAGAAACATGGTAGCTGCTTACTGCTGCTCTTAGTTTTATGGGCAGCTCTACCCTCAGTCCTTCATGTCACTCATCCTTAGCAGATACTCTACAGCTGGTTGTTGGATTAATGAATGTTTGTCAAAAATGGTGGTAAAAGGCAAATTAACACTGAAATGTCCCACAGATGATTTTGCTCCATCTTGATTCTGATAGCTCCATCTTGTTAGATTGCCTTTCAACCTAGGCAATTAAAAAAAAAAAAAAAAGTAAGCACTCTTCTATTGTTCCTGCCTGAGTGCAAATTTCAGATTTATTTGGTCTTCCAGTGCACAATTTTCTCTCGGAAATAGAAAATCAAATCTTCTGAGCCATTTCAGGAACTGTTTTTTAACAAACAAACAATGACAACAGCAAAAGAGCCAGCACACTGATTTGTCCAAAGCAAACACATACTGCTTAAGATGAAGTGGCAGGATTTGAACCTGTGATGGAGCTGTGGCTTTGCTTTGACATAATGAATTGCTACTGGTCTACAACAGTGATTTGCATTATTAAGTTCGTGTTGCCCACTTACCTGAATACCTTATGTATTTCTATGCTGTTTTATGGGGGAGAAAAGGAAAAAAAGGAATTTCTAACTGTTCCATGTCATGTTCCTACCAGTAGATATAGCAGCACTTCTAGAAATAGAATTACTTTTCATTTGACCCCTCTTGGTTTTTGGGAAAGTTCTTTGGGTAACATCTTGTACTGTACCGTAACACAGTAGTAGATAAAATGAGATGGAAGGCACACTTGATCTTCATTCAAATTATTTTGAAGAATCAAAACTGTAGGGCTTTATTTCCCAGTAATTTTATAGGGGACTGCTGCAACTCTGCTCTCCCCCCACCCCTTCCTATACTTGCAGGTAAGTTACTCAATTCTTCCACTGAATAATCTGTTCAGTTTTTCATAATGAACTTCGTTACTTGATGTTTTTCTTTGTGGTTCCAGCTCTGCTTTCCATTTCCACACCTTTTAAAGGTCTGGTTGAATGTACTTGAGAAGAAAAGATGAGATTGCATATTTTTCCTGGAAAACAGTTACTTTGGAAGTTTGTACCAGAATTAGCTGTGATTCTTGTTCAGATATTCCAAGAGTGAAGTACTTATTGTATAGAAACGCTTTTATCTTTGGCTTGCTTTTTGTTTTCTTTTTAAAACAATGACTTAATATAAAAGCTGTTTTATTTAAAGTGCTTCCTTAAAAAAAAAAATTCTCTAATGTTTCCAGACAGTCCTAGGGTCTCTGACCCCAATATTCCCCTAGTGGCCCGTGAGATCATGCAGCGAATGATCCGACAGTTTGCTGCTGAATATACCTCAAAAAATAGCTCTACTCAGGACTCCAGCCAGCCCAATAGCACAAAGAACCAAAGCCTGCTGAAAGCATCTCTGGTCGCCTCCTCTCCCACGGCTGCAACTGCTCAGAACCCTGTGCTCAGCAAACTTCTCATGGCTGACCAAGACTCACCTCTGGACCTTACTGTCAGAAAGTCTCAGTCAGAACCTAGTGAACAAGGTAGGAATGTTACCTGTGTCTTGTGGCAATCCACTCCTGGCTTTCTTGTTAAAACAAAATGATTGCAAGTTTGCCCTCTTACGTAAAATGTGAGTGGAAAAGCAGTAGATGTCGTGGTGAAAGACTGACTAGCTAGATATGGCTTGCAGAGGAGATAATTCTTGAAAGAAGGTAGGCTCACAGACATGAATGATTTTTGAAGAAGGGCAGAGGGGATGGACATGCTCTGACCTCTGGGGACAATTGTGCTGCTGGGAGGAGCGAGAAATAGCCTGCTCAGTGGGCTGAATGCTTGCTGATAAGGTGCTGTGGTCATGAAAACTTTCCTGAAGATCTGTTCAGAATCCAACTGAAGGACTGGTTGGATTTATTTTCTCTATGATCACAATGTGAAAGTAGTCAAATTTGGTGAGAAATTGCTTTGTGACGGCTGGCTCGTACATTTGGAAAAAGTCTGGGTTTTTTTTTCCACCTTAAAAATAGACTTGTTCAGCAAAGCACAGATTGAGTGACTTGTAACAGTGTTGCAGAGCTTGTTTTAAGGTGAAAACCTTGCTTTCCATAAAAAAAAAAAAATGTTTTTAACAAGCAAATTCTGCAAGTGATTTTAGTTCAGTGAAAGATTTTTTTTTTCTTGAAAATCTGGATTAGAGGTTATGATAACTGTGTTTTACTCAGAGGATTAGAATTAACCTCTTTTCCCTTCTTTACTAATGTGTTTAAAAGTGTCTCAAATCATTCTACTAAATACAATGTAAACTGTCCATTCTCAAGCCGTCCAATGCCTTTAAAACAAATGAATGCCAACAGCAAAATAAACCAGCAGAACTCTTTAGCTCGCTGGTGTGTGGTTGTAAATATTCCTTCACCTTGTCTGCATGTATACAGATATCCTGTATCTGTAAGAAGGTTAATTTTCATGTCCAGCCATGTTCAGAATGGACATCTGGACACTTCTTACACTTACTGCCAGTTGTTGCCATGTGTCAGTTACAAAATTGCATTGAAAGATTATATGGTATTTTTTCTAAGTGAGGATCTGTGCCTTTAGTTGATGGGCATTTATTTCTAGCCAATGTTATTGCAAAGCAAATGTAATTCACTCATGTCTTTTTTGCATGTATGTTTATAAATGTTAAACTGTTCTGATCTATAAGCTTTTCCCCAAAAGGGAGGAGAGAATTGGTTCTGTTTGTTTTTGTTTTTGTTTTTTTTTAAAGAAGATTAAGAAGAAAGTATATACGTGAGCTGCTCTTTAGTGGTGAAAAAGCTTGGAGATGATTTATAATATTTTGTTACTTGTTGATATACACATGTTCTAATTCAATAACTTCTGAAGTGATTTGTTTGCTGATGTAGTTGTTTTTCCCAATTTACATAATTGGGAAGGGCTTTTGCCAAACTTTCTAAGGAGAGATTTAAGAGGCTGTCACAGAGACTGCTGGGGCAGCTTTTTGGTGTATTTCCATCCTGGAGGGCCAAGGGGAAGAAGCCAGTTTGTGTGCTCAGGGCATGGGACTGCTCCTGCTTGCCCTCAAGAGCCCTTCTGTCAGAGGAGTGGGGATGGAGCCCCTGCCTGAACTCTGCTGTTGATGTGTCTCCTTGAAGAGAAGGTGCTGCTCCATCCCTCCCTTGTCCTGTCGCAGTGCTCAGAGGGGAGGCTGAGCTCTCTGCTTGCTTAGGTTTGGGTAGCGAGGTGTTCCCAAATGCAGTGGGTGGAACAGCTTTCTGTAAGTCAGCTCTGTTTCACTGCTTTTCTTGTGGGTTTTTTCCTCCATATGTCAAATGAGAACTTGAAGCAATCTGAAAGCCATCTTAGATTGTTCTTGTGTTTGAAGGTACTTGTGTTAGTGAGCAAGTAGCTCTGAAACATCTTGTTTGCTTTGCCAGCAGCTTTCATTTATCTTTGCCTTGTAAATTCCATGTTTCAGAGTTTCCAGGAATTTCAGATGGCTGTAGTGCTTCTAAGGCGATGTTGCCCTTATTAAAATGACCAGAATTCCAAGCTGTTTCAGTGCAATGGGAACAAGGCTTTTCTAGCATGAAGCAGTCCCTTTGCTTTTGCCTAGAAATGCAGAGTTTATGTAAGGGCTCACAGAGGAGTGCAGGCGAGCACAAGGAAGTGCCATTAGTGTGTGTCCAAGGGAGAACGGGAGAAGCAGCCTAGCAGGAAAAGCAGCTGTATAGGTGTGAGAGGAGAGGGAGTAAAGCGACACAGTAAAGGGGAAAAGCAGCGTCTGTGCCATCAGGAACCCAGCAGGGACATGGAAAAAAGGATGAAGCTACTTGCTGGGGGAGGAGTCCGGTGCTATGCGGGTGCTCCTTTGATAGTGAGTTTCCCATATTAAATTCCTACGTTAATTCAAGTCTATGCAGGAAAATTGAAAATAATATATGTTATGTCTCTCTCTGTATACACAACACTGATGTAATGCCTCCAACACTAAGTAATGTGTAATATCTCATGCCTGAGACTGTGTTGCATCCTGAATCATCATTCGTAGGCAATTATTTATTTACTGGCCCTTGTAAAAGATGCCAAATTTTGTTGTGACTTCTGAGGGCTACGCTGGTCATTTGTAAGCCAAATTATGACCAAATTCAAGCATTGAGTCACTGAAAAAATAAAAGGTGCTATGTGCTGAACATGACATTAGCCCAAAGAAGTGGCTTTGTCAAGGGTCAGCATGGCTGATTTTCTTTCTTCAAACACTGAAGTGATTCTGTCATTTCTACAGACGGCGTGCTTGATTTGTCCACTAAGAAGAGTCCTTGTGCTGGCAGCACCTCTCTGAGTCATTCTCCAGGATGCTCCAGTACTCCAGGAAATGGGTAAGAGAAAGCAACTTACAATGACGTTTTATGACTGTGTTTTTAACTAAAAATGTATGTTTACCACTCGTCAAAACTAACTTATTTTTGGTGTTAACTTTCTGGAGTAATGTGTCTTTCAATGTGCCTTTTGATGAATACCTTCATCCCACCTGCCAAATAAGAGTTGTTGCAAACTGAGACCAGTTTACCTGAGGTGAAGAGCTCTGCTATCTGTTATTTTGGCCAGCTTAGTACTTAGCCAAAAGCACTGCCTGTTTCTTGGATTCAGTGGAGAAGCAATATCAGTTAGATGTCTGAAGATTTTTTTTTTTTTTTTTTAATGCTTTGCAATGTGACTTAGATTTTGTTTCATTTAGATGGAAGTTAACTAACAAAGAAGCTTATTTTACCAGTAGCAATAATTTGGATGATTAACCGGAGTGATTTGATTCAAATCACTGCATGTTCTGTGTTTCTTTTTTCTTGCACAACCTTTAAAAAAAAAAATTATATATATATATAACAAATGGAGAAGTTGGGTGGCAGGGAAGTCTCCTAGTTCAGAAAACTCGAAGTATGTATTTTTTGGATTTGCAATTATTTTTTCTAAGGAAATACAAAATGCATGATGTACTACTCCTGCCTTAATTCAAGGTGTAAAAGAATGCTATCATTAGTTACTTCTAGATTTCATGTTTCTAATGGTCATTTTTGCATCAATTTAGAAACCCTTTACTGTAGTTAGGTTTGAATTAATTGTACTGGAGAGGCGGTTTACAAGTAAGAGGGGTTTTGGGTGTTGATAGGAAAATTTTGTTTGCAAGCTGCTGTGAACTACAAGTTTCATTAGTGAAGTACAGAAACAGAACGTGATTCATACTACTATTTAATTGCTGAATTTAGACCTACATCAGCATTTGGAAAACTTGAATTTTTAAACTAACAACCTACCGCCAGTACCAACCTCATATACTGCTAACAACTGGTTTAACTGTTGCATTTCTTTGGGGAAAAATACTGCTGTCTGAGTGTTTCTCCCTTCAAGATTACATTTCCCATTTAATATCTCAGTCCTTGTTTAACAGTTAGCCTTAATGCTTTTGCACAGATCTTTAGCATAATCCTTTCCCACCTTTTCAGAATTGTATCATTTCCAGCTTTGTTTTCTTACAAAGACTCTGTCTGGAATCTGTCAGGACAGCAAGTTTTTTTTTCCCCGTGTGTGTGCCTGAAGTAAGAGCTGAAGTCCAATATGGGGAGGGATGGCAAGGACAGCATCTGGCTGTCCTGGTTGGCTCTGTGGGTCAAGAGAGGGTGCTCTGTACTGGCACTTGTCATTTGTACAAGTGTGTGGTAGATGATGGCTTTAGTCTGTTTAGCATCAAGGAAATCAGATGTGACCTTCTGTTATAGTTAGCTGTCAGTATGACCTTTCTTTAGGTATAAAAAATACAAGTGTGCATTCTGATGCTTAATACATGCTGTAGAAGGGATGGAGGATATGCAGTAATTCTCTGGAATAGCAAATTTACGTGTCTGGATTTTGCTCTGAATTCATGCTGGCTCCTGTTACTCACTTCAGCTGTGACCTATCGCATCCTGGAGAGAAGCTAGCAGCATATATGTTAAGCACTGTGTATGTTACATGCCAGGTCCTTTCAGTGGATGCCTCTGCTCTAAAGATTTATTTTTTTCTGATCTTAATGTGATGTTAAAAACAATGATGTAGCTTTTCAGTAGCATTTATCCTATAGTTAAATAACACTGATTTATCTAGAGGGCTTCACACCAGCAAGTCTCCCTGAGCGTTATAACACTTGTAGTCTCTCTTAATGGGTATATCAGACTTGGGAAGGTTTGGAGGTGGATTGTGAAACTGATTTGTCTGGTGGGACTTAGTTACTACGAAGAGGCTGAGCAAGAAGTAGTAGGACTTTGTGTCATTGAAAACACTTGTGACAAAAGGAAAATGGTAAATGTACATGCTTTTTTTTTTTCCCTGCTATTAACCTTTGCTCTGGACTAAAGCGTATCGTTTGAATTTGGGATAGTTTTTTTTAGCCATGTTAAGCTCCGTGTCAAATGAGATTCAGGCCATGTATATATGCAATTAGTTGTTAAAAGGGCAACTTGGTAAGTCTAGTGTTCTTCTTTGTGATCTGCAGTATCCCAGCTTTCATATTTGGTGCTAAGCATTTCTTTATCCTGAGCAGCATTTCTTCAATGTGATGTAAGCAAACATCATCCAAGGTTTCCTCCTACTCGTAGATACTGCAGGTGGCAGTCATATTTGCATGTTGAATATGTTGCATTTCTGGCTTACTCTTTTATTACTGTACTTGTTTAGTGGTAACGTCACACCAGTAACACAGTTATGTATAGATCTATGGCGATTGACTCCTACTTTGTAATTAAGGTGCTATTTTCAGACGCTTGCGCGAAGTCTTTTCTACTCCGAGAATTTGTGAACCCAACCAGAGACCAGCCAACAGGTTTCATTTTTCTTTGCCCAAAAAGCTTCTCTTTTTTTGTGAACAAGTTTTAAAACTGACTGATGCTGAGACTTAATAAAAAAAAAAAAAATTAACAAATTAAAATAAAAAACAAAATTTAGAGAAAAATAAATAACGCAAAAAGTGATGTTACCCAAGCAAGGCCTTCTAATAAAGGAGTGGCCCCCTCACCCATCCCTCCCTACCTGTGCAAGTCCTGCTCACATCAGTTTCCTTCCATCCAATTAGGCGACCTGGGAGACCCAGCCAGCACCATCCAGAGGGACTACAGAGTGGTGATGGGGTACCTCCAAGAAGCTTGCAGGATGGAACCAGGGAAGGTTATGGCCACTCTACATCTCTTAAAGTACCGCTGGCTCGATCACTCCAGATTAGTGAAGAACTGCTGAGCAGAAACCAGTTTTCTACAGCTGCCAGCCATGGGCCATCTGGACTACAGAATCATGGACAGCACTTAATATTATCCAGGGAGGCTTCTTGGGCAAAACCACACTACGAATTCAATTTCAGCCGCATGAAATTCAGGGGAAATGGTGCACTCAGCAACATCAGTGACCTTCCTTTTCTTACAGAAAACTCTGCCTTTCAAAAAATGGCACTTCAAACTAAACAGGATGGGAAAAAGGACGTGAGCCATTCGTCTCCTGTGGATTTAAAGATACCACAAGTTCGAGGCATGGACCTTTCTTGGGAGTCCCGCTCTGGTGACCAGTTCAGCTATAGCTCTTTGGTAATGGGTTCACAAACGGAGAGCGCGCTTAGCAAAAAGTTAAGGGCTATCCTTCCAAAACAAAACAGGAGAAGTTTGCTGGATGCTGGACCAGATTCCTGGGGCTCAGATGCTGAGCAGTCTACCTCTGGACAGCCATATCCCACCTCAGATCAAGAGGGAGATCCTGGCTCCAAGCAACCTAGGAAGAAAAGAGGGAGATACAGACAGTACAACAGCGAGATACTGGAGGAAGCAATCTCCGTGGTGATGAGCGGGAAAATGAGTGTTTCCAAAGCTCAGAGTATTTATGGGATCCCCCACAGTACACTGGAGTACAAAGTTAAAGAGAGGCTGGGCACTTTGAAAAACCCTCCAAAGAAAAAAATGAAATTAATGAGGTCGGAGGGGCAGGATGTTTCAGTAAAGATTGAATTAGATCCCCAGGGAGAAGCAGCACAAAGTGCAAATGAATTGAAAGATGAGTAGGGATGTTGTAGAGTGCCAATTACTTTGCAAACTGGGTGAGCACTACTGCATAGTTCAACCACCATTGAGCACACCTCATTCTCCCATTTACTGCAATGCTCTTTTCTTTGCAGTTCAGCATAGACTTGTGTGGACACAAGTGAAAGGCGTGCTCTGAATGTCACACTTGTAAATTTTTTTCTAGCCTGATACGGAGCAGATTCCCTCCTTCACCTGCCCACTATCTTTTTTTTACTTTCTTTTCTTTATTTTTTCCATTTGCCTTTTGCATGTTTCTCTGTAATGGAGAGTTGAGTTACCTCATAAAGAATGCAGATCTGTGGAAGTGGACATCTTGCCTGCACAGCCCACCTCAACTCCCACTGTTGGATGTTTTTCTTACTGGTCTTCATAGAAATAAGTCCACTTTGTTAAACTGGTAGTCTCTTAAAACCAGGCTTTTTGAATGAGAATCAGACTGTCGTTCTTCAAAAAAAAGTTTCAGAAATCCTTTTTCCCTTTCCTTTTCTTTGATTCAGTTGACTGAAAGATTTAAGCTAAATCAAATTATGTAGGAAAGGCACCTCTCTTGAACTCGGAGATTTGCTTTTTTGGTGGCTAATCAATTGGGTCTAATTAGGCTCTCTGCTATTTTCTTTCTAAATTCAGCATGCTTACCATTCACTGTCTGCTTAGTGCTCACCCGGAGGGGAGGGGAGGGAAAACTTACAAACACTACCTTCAGAATATGTCAGTGAATTATTTGTAACACTACCTTCGCTGTAATTTTGTTAGATATTTTTGAAGGGTGATATTTGACTCACCTGCTTGAGGATGTAGCCTTATCTCACGGAAGACAAGCTTCTCATGGTCAGGAGCAGTCAGGGTACACTAAATGATGTATTAGGGTATGCCTCATTATAACAGAATTAAGGTTCTCTGTGACCTTCATGCTTTTTACAGACTTGATTCTGAGTTTACTAAACTATGTGGTTCCAACAGCTAGTTTAAATGACTCTAATCTGGGGATGGGGAGGGGGGATATGTGTAACAAACTACTGTGATCTTGTGCAAAAAGAAAGAAGGAAAAAAGAAAAGCCCACTAAACAGTGATCTCAAACGTTACAACCTCAGTAGTCTGCCCAAATATCCACATTAGTGAAGGAGCTTGTTAATGTTCAGGGAAGAAGTAAAACACTGGTAGCCTGGCCTGGTTCAGGCTCTGTATCATATCTAGCTGTAATACTGTCAGGGTCGAACACTCAATGAATGGGTGTTTCCTTTTTAAATATTACAGTTGCCAGTAGCAGGAAATAATCTAAGTCCTG